GCTTCATTAGTTTGGGTTTCTTTTCTGTTACTCTTAGTGCTTCAGTCAGCCAGTTGGACATCTGTGCTTGTGAGACTCGGGCAGAATATAGTTCTTAGTTTTGCCATCAGCTCCTAGCAAAATGAAGCTGTGTTCATTAGGAGGAGCTAGTGTTAGATGGGTGAGTGCATGTGGTCACATGACCCCAGTAACTGAAAGTGAAGAGGAGAAGGATGGACAGAGAATACTCCTTGCATGGCTGCTGCCTTGTTGGCAGTGTCTGGTGGCCTCAACAACCAGGAGCTGGGCCTCTTCTTGACCACACCTGGGAAGTGCTGTTTCCGGTTCTTCATTTAGACTGGCCCTCCTCCAGTGCAGTCTGTTCAAGGTCAGGTGAGCTCTGCTTCTTGTAGAACTGGGTTTTGTCCTTTGCCTGTCTCTCCACTCTGAGACTTTAACACAGACTTAGTTCCATTGTTAATGTATTCCTGTGTGAATGAGTTTGTTGAGGGTGGGAAGTGGGGCACCTGTGGGGTCTCTCCCACAAGTCCCACTTGCACAATAGTGCGGGAAGAGCTCAGGACCATGGAGTGCATAGCATTAGAATTTGGCCCACTCTGCGTTGGGCACTGGTGCTGGCTCTGGACAGGGCCTGGCTGCTGGTATGTCTTTGTTGGATGTGATCTGTTGCGTTACTACACACATGACCCCTCAGTCCTGTGTGCATACATAGTACACATAGTAGGTGTCTCAGCTCATGAGTCCTGGGTGCTAATCGGGCACAGCATGTAAGAAAGTTGTGTTTTAGCTCTTTCTTGGATATATGCGTGTGTGCGTGTGTGTGTGTGTGTGTGTGTGTGTGTGTGTGTGTGTACGATTATAGTGAGAACCCCTCAGGTCAGGTGTGTATGTGTGTGTGTGTGAATATATATATGGAATGTGCATTGTACATTTTTCCCAAATTAACACGAGGCTCTTGAATGTTTCTGTGCCTTGCTTTCTGAAGGTGGCCTGCAGAGGCAGAGAGGGTTTGGGAAAGGTCTCTGTTAGCATCCAGCAGCAGAGGGCACCGCAGTGAAGGAGATGAAGCAGAACCGCAGCTGCATGTGGGAACAATGAGCCCAAGCCACCTCATGCTAGCATACAGCAGCTGTGTTAGTGAGCCTGAACTATAGTCTTTATATTTTCACCTTATCCAAAATGAAAGACAGTTTAAGTATTCTTGCCAGGGAGCTTTTCTGGAGCATTGTCTACCTCTTAGCTGGTTCAAATTATTATTATTATTATTATTATTATTATTATTAATCATCTGGAGACAGAATCATACGTAACCCAGGCTGACCGTTGTTCCTCGGCTATCCACCTTCCCAGCTGCTAGGATCACAGACTGTGCCACCACATCTGGTTACATACTGTCCTGGGGTTGCACGCTCACAAGCTCTCTACCAGTGGAGCTTCATCTCTGCAACAGCATAATCCAGCTGTAGGACAGGTTCATTGTGGGACCCTGAAACTGTGGGACCTTGAAACCGTAGGACCCTGAAACTGTGGGAAACCCTACTCCTGTAGGTTCCCCACACTTTCCAGTCTTATTTTTACATTTGTAGATCTGCTCATTCTGAACATTTCCTATGAATGGAATCATGAAATGGGTTGGTATGTTGTGGCTTCTTTCCCTTAAGATGACGCAGGCATTTGGGGCGTAGCATGTGGCACTGAGGATGCACTGCATTTTGTTCGTTCACATAAAGGTTTAGACTGTGCTGCCTGAGCTGCGGTGACCACCAGTGATGCTTGTGCTTTTAAGTACCGTTTGTATGCGTTTGCATATGTGTCACGCATGAGGGCACGCGTGCATGTGTGTGGAGGTCAGAGGGCAACAGAGGTGTTTTGTTTTTACTTAATTTTGTTCATAATGTGAAGGAAGGGTCCAAATTTATTGTTTTTCATGTAGATGATCAGTGTCTCTGGTATCGTTGCTGAACAGACTATTCTTACACTGAACCGTCTTGGCCTTTGGCCATGACGTTAAGGATTTATTCCTGCATTCTGATCAACCTGTCTGTCTTTATACCACACCACAAGGTTTTCTTAGATGCTAGATTTGCAATAACTTGAAAGGCATAATTGCATTGACTGTCCCCATTGTAACAATATTAAACCTTCCAATCCATGAACGTGGGATGTGTTTCTATTTATTTAGATCTGTGAGCTTTTCAATAGGGTCTTGTAGTTTTCAGTGGGTTTTATACTTCTTTTCTTTATTAATTGTTGGGACTTGTTTTTTGACATAGGGTTTCACTGGCCTTGAACTCAGAGATCTGATGCCTGTCTCTGCCTTGAGTACTGGAATTAAAGCCATATCCCACCATGTCTGGCCTTACTCCTCCTTTCTTCCCTCCCCCTCACCTGGGCTTTTGTTGCAAGCATATAAAAATACAGATGTCTATATAACCCTGTGTTCTCCAACCATGTCTGGATTTATTCTAATACCTTTTTAGTGAATATGAAGTTATGGATCTGCAGCCTTCCTTTCTCCAATCTGAATGCTTTTGTTTATAACTTCTCTTGCTTACCTCACCGACCCCTCTAGTGCAGCGCTGAGTGGGAAGCATAGGAGCAGGCCCACTTGTCTTTTCCTGGTTGTACAGAAGCTGCTTTCAGACTCTCACCATGATGCCAGCTCTGGGTCTACGTAGGTGCACCCATTAGGTTGAGGGCATTCTCCTTTCGTTCTAGTTTCTTATTTTTTTTATGAAGGGCTGCTATATTTTATCAAATTTTAGTAGCCATGTGTATTTTGTTTTTAATATTCAGTGATATTTCATTGGCTAATTTTCCATTGTTATACCAATCTTGTCTTTCTAAAATTATGTCTGTATTTGAATGGATATTCAATGTCCATAGTTTTCTTGCAGTGATGTATTTTCTGGCATCAGGGTACTATCAGATTCATGAGAATAAGTTCAAATCATTTGTCCCTTCTGTCTTGGGAAGTGTATGAAAGATTGGTATTCACTCTACTTTAAGTATTTGGTAGAATCCACCAGTGATGGAAGTTTCAACATTACTCATTTTGTCTTTTCACCTCATGTAATTCTGCTTAGATTTTCTTTAACTTCTTGTACCATTTTGATAGTTTATGCCTTTCTTTTATTTATGTTTCCCTGTGTGTCCGTTTACTGCTTGCAGGAGCCCTAAAATGCCACAAGAGGGCCTCAGATCCCCAACACTGGAGCTGCTGGTAGAAGCCACCATGTGGATACTGGGAATCAAACCAGGGGGCCTCTATGGCAGACAGAACTCTCTCTTACGCACCGAATTCCCTGCCTTCCAAGCTTATGCCATTTTTGTTTGTGTTATTTTTGTTGTTGTTGTTTTATTTTTTGTTTTAGTAACATCTAAGTTAGCCAAATTTTGGTATGTAGTTCTTTGTAAAAATCCTGTATAATTCTGTTCATTTTTGTAAGATTGGTTCTGATAATCCCTTCTTCTCTCATTAACTTGAGTACTTCATCTCTTCTTTTCATCTAATAAAAATCTTGTCAGTTTTGTCTACCTTGTTTTTTAACACGTTGTTATTTCAACAGTGATACATTTTTCTTTCTTTGCAAGGTCAGCTCCTTTACCCCAGGAGTTTCAGTGACTGGTAGGTTTTCAGTACCAGACCACTAGAATGAGAGTAATCATACAACAGCCCCTCCTGCTGTCTGGATTCACAAGCTGAGCGTCTCAGCCCTCCATGAAGTGTGTGCAGTCCATGAGGACACCCTGGCATTGGTGTGCAGAGCAGGACGGGTAAGGAAGTCAAATTTATTATTTATTATTTATTTTGGTTTTTCAAGACAAGGTTTCTCTGTAGCTTTGAAGTCTGTCCTGGAACTAGCTCTTGTAGACCAGGCTGGCCTCAAACTCACAGAGATCCATCTGCCTCTGCCTCCTGAGTGCTGGGATTAAAGGTGTGTGCCACCATCACCTGGCAGGAAGTCAAATCTTGTTGGTGAGTCACATATGATTAAAAAAGCTTTGAAACATTTTTGTTACCAGGTATTCTATGCAAATTTTTGGAAATTGGCTTTGTCATATAAACAGCAAATCTATGAATCATATTATTTTAGTATAACCATCCTAAATAAAATAATTTAGAGTGGAAGCCATATCACTGCAGAAGTATTTAGAGGCAAGCATGTTACTCCACTCTGGTCACACAGGCCCTTCACACAGGCTACTGAGAGGGCACCCAGTTCTAACTGTTGCTTACACATGTGCTGTACACAGGCCTACCCAGATCCTGCATAAGCCGTCATAGTTCCCGTTAGAACTCTGGGAACCAAAGTGAGTTTAGAACAGATCGGTTGCTCGTCCTAAGCTTTTGCTGCCCCACGACTTCTTTCCTAGAGTGTGTGCTTTAGATTCACCTACAACCTCCATCCTATTTCATGGTCTTCTTTTACCAAAATGTGCCCAGAAACTGTTCTTTTCCCGGGAATCATAGAGATCAACAAAAGAGAACAGAAATGGGAACTTTAGCTTCAGTCTGTGCCTGGTGTTTTTAGAGGGTGCAGAGAACTAGTGTCTTCAGTCTGTGCAGGGTGGTTTTAGAGGGTGCAGAGAATTCTCATGTCTGTGTAGCAATCATGTGGAAGGCGAGGTGTGAAACCAATAGTCACAGATCTCAGCAGCACACCATGGGGTGGGTGAGTCATCTCGCATCTGCCTACAAACAGTTTGGGGAAAGAAGGCTGAATTTTGTGGCTACAGTTCGTTTAGGAGACAGGCACACAATCTCAGACAACCCATATCTGTAGGAAGTATTGTGCCCTTTCGGCTGAACACTAGCTGTTGTAGGGCACCTTCTTGCTCCACCCCTGAGAACAGGACCATTTTTCATTACAGCATTTCTTTTTTTTTTCAAAAAAAAATCACAATTCATCACAATTTTATGAAAAGAATCAGAAGCAGTGTTCCTAGGCAAGATTTGACAGCAGAAGGACAACAGCCTCTAACTGACTCATATAAGTATGATTAACACTCAACAAAATCTGATCTTTTTTACAGATATAGACAAGTGATTTTGAAATTCATATGGAAGAAGAGGAACTAGAATAATTAGAAAATATTTTGTAAAATAACACAATGGGGAAGACTCAGCATCACAGATGTATTCCCAGCATGTTTGTGAATTCAGGGCAACCTGGGCTAATGACACAATGGGAGGACTCAGTGTCACAGCTGTGATCCCAGCGGGTTTGTGAGTTTGAGGGCAGCCTGGGTTAATGAGGCCAACATTGGCAACAAAAAAAGAGTTGTTTGTTCACTCAAAAATTTGATATTAAAGGAAGCCACATTGATCAAAACAGTATGGTATTGATGGAAGACTAGACCCATAGATAAATGGATAAATGCAGAATTCAGGAGTAGACAGACATGTGTAGTCATTTTCATTTTGATGAACATGCTAAAGAAACTTGGGTGGAGAAAAGATAGTGTTTTCCAGCAAATGGTGTGGAAACAGTTGTCCATTTACATAAACTTTTTGATCTAAATTTCATACTTTATGTTCAGAATAAAAATGAGTTGCATATCTTGATGAAAAGCATGAAACTATGAATGCTCTAGAAGAAAACATTAGGAAACATTTGGAACCTTAGAGCAGAAAAAAGTTCTTACACATGACACCAAAAAGAAGCATAAATTAAAAAAAAAATTGAAGTTAAGCAAAATTAAAATCTTTTTGCCAAAGATTACTAGCAGGATTAAAAGGTAACTGAAGAAAATGTTGTAAATCAAATTCATATCAAAGGGCATGACTGGGAATCTACAAAGAACTGTCAAGGTCAGCAGGGGCCTGGAGATGTGGCCCCGTGGTTAAGAGCAGTGGCTGTTTTTGTCAAGGATTGCTTCCCAGCACCCACGTGGTGATTCACAAACATCTGTCACTCCAGCTCCAGGGGACCCCACGCCCTCTTCTGACTTCCGTGGACACCAGACACACATGTGGAGCAAAGGCTTTCATGTACACATATGTGTATACGATATTCAGACACTTATATTCATAAAAGTAAGTCGTTTTTTAAGGAGGGGACAATGTGATTTTTTTTAAGGAAAAAAATGCAGACACTTTGCTAAGAGGAATTAGGGACAGGAATAGGACACAAAAGGATCCCCAGCATCATTAGCTGCTTAGGAGAAGCAGACACAGCGGTACACAGTGGGACACATACGGTATCCTATCACATCAGAATGACTACCATTGAAAATGTCGGCACTACCAGGAGCTGGTGAGCGCAGAGCAACTGAGCACACGTTACTGCTTCTCTTGCGAGCCCGAGTGCAGAATAGCGTAGCTGGCCTGGAAGACATTTGGCAGCTGTATATGGCGTCAGGCATACACTTACATTGACCCAGTTACACCCTTCTTGAGTGTTAGCCTAGAGAGCGAAAACTATGTTTGTACAAAGACCAAGCCGGTGTGTTTACAGAAGGTCTGGTCTGTTCCTTGAAATCAAACACGGAGAGTCCAGTTGTCCCGCAGCGGGTGGATACACTGTGCCCACTCACAAGCCTTGCATACACTGGACTCAACGATGAAGATGGATAAACACAGGGCAAAGTGAGTGAGTCTCAAAGGTGTCACTGAGTGAAAGCAGCCAGTCTTGAAAGGCGACATGTATCTCCCATTCACACCCTCTCTGGAAGGCAGAAGCCATGGAGCACAGAGGACTTCAGAGAGGAAGAACAAAAGATTTGAGTATGAAGGACAGCACAGGGTCACGGGGGGATGGAGCTTAGTCTGGAGTTTTATTTTGATGGTAATCACACACACACACACACACACACACACACACACACACACACACACACTCGCACATCCACACATCCACAAACGCACAGAAAGACACACACACATACATACACACACACTCAACATAGAAAGGCACACACACATCCACACACACAAAGACACACACACATACATACACACACACTCAACATAGAAAGGCACACACACATCCACACACAGAGAAAGACACACACACTTAACACACACATCCACACACACTCACACAGAAAGACACACACATAACACACACACATCCACACACACTCACACAGAAAGACACACACACATACACACACACTCACACAGAAAGACACACACCCCCACACAAAGATAATAGAACTGTACCAAAAGGAAAATGAAGTTTTACTATAAGTGTTTTTAAAATACTTTTTTTTAAATCTTTACAAGCAGAAACCCCTTCTTCTTGTGGTTTGCTCTACATGTGAACTGCGTCTGCTCAGGACAACCCCAGCTGCTTCCAGATGTCGTTTCATTGTGAATGTTTCCTATCACAGTTTCATCCAGCTGCCTCCTGAGTCTCCTGTGGTACGGCCCCACCAGTCTCATTTGTTTTTCAAATCTCTGTAGATTTTCAACCCATTGCCATCTCTGGGGTGTTCTCCCAGTCTCTAAAATATGACACATATCCCTTATCATACTGAACTCTTTGAATTTATTTGTGTTTGTGTGTGTGCGTGCCTGCTTGTCTGTGTGCTCCACACTTGTGTGCAAGTGCCTGTAGAGGCCAGAAGAGGTCATGGGAGCCCTCAGAACTAGAGTTACAGCAGTTGTAGCTATCTAATATAGGTGCTAGAAACTGAACCCAGGGCCCTTACAGAAGTAGCGAGTGCTCTCATTCACTGAGCCATCTCCCTGCTCCATCAGATTTAAAGAGGGCATAACCATTCCACTTCTTAGCAGGGTGAGAACACACACACACACACGACCTGGTTCTGGTCTACAGCCCCTGCTTGGTTTCATGCCTCACTAGCATTTCAATGAAGAAACTCAATTTTTGAGTAGAAAACCTCCAAGTGTGCACAGTCTACTTGTGATTCTTTTCTTCTCTTCATAGTGGGATTTGCAACCAACCTTTATAAAGTAATATTTTTTTTTTCCTGGAACCATTTCCAGGTGGCTATTTTCCTCCCGGGGATTTGTCTTATTAAGCCATTAGGGTGGACAATGGACACACTTGAATGTCTGGGTGGCAGCAGGCTGCTCTGTTGGGACACAGGATAAAATGCCATAAACATCTTCCTTTATTTTATTGGATTTGGCTCAGTCTGTTGACAGGGCTATTGTGTGCTCAGCTCCAGTTGTTATGGAGAGGTTTGTTATTTTCAAGTAGAAAATCTATGCTTAAATTTGACACAGTGTTCTGCAGTGAAGGTGAGGCCCTTTTATCTGCTGTGTATCAGAGCACAGTGATTTGACTCCCATGTCCAGGCCACCCTCGTACTTTTTATTGATCATCAAAAGACAAAGGTGGCTTTTGATTCTTTCCAAATGCTAGCAAATTAGGAGACACTGCAAAAATTATTTTGTCACCAAGGAGAAGACATGGCACAAAATAACTTGGGCAGTGTCCTTCCCCAGGGCAACTTTCTTGGCAACGTTAGTGTTAAACATACCCAAATTTCCAAGAAGTAAATGGTTCTTTTTGTTGTCATACTAACCACGCTGAAGAGGCCATGGAGGAAAGGTATTTCTTTCTCATTTCTCAACCCTTTTTCCCTAGGATTCTTATGAGTCAGGAGAGCGCTGCTCAGGCAGGAGAGGGGAAGGCAGAGCCTCCCGAGTGCTGGATTCTATTTTCAGGAATGTTTTTAAACACTGGAAGCAGCAGCCATGCCTGGAGTTCAGCTATTCGGAACCAGTTGCTCCCTTGTGCTCTCTCTGTGAAAATGAAAACCCACTCACTATCATTCACCTAACGCTTAGCTTCAGGTTTTTCCCTTAAAGGAAGGATTTTTGTTCATTTAACATTTTTTTAAAAAAACAAAAGAGACCTATTTTATGAGTTCAAGTGATTTTTTTCCCCTTAGATTTTTTTTTAAGTTTATTCAAATCATAGAACCTCAAATTAAATGCATTGCTTGCCTGGCATGTGAGATACCAAGGTCTGTGTGCCAAGGGGTGGACCCTCAAGAAACCTGTGATGTGACTATATTTCTCAGGAAAATATCCACCTGGTTGATTTATGCCAGGAACATGCAGTGGGCATGGAGTGTAAGCACCACCATTCCTGGACTGTTTCTCAGAGGCAGGGAAGAAGGGAGCCGACTCAGTGCTCTTTCTACTCGGAGAGGCACAATAACCCAGACTCCTCATCACCCTCCTCAACACCAGCAGGGATCCCCGGTCCTTTTGTGCCATGTGACAGTGGGCAGTTCAGGTTCACTGACACACTTCCAGCGTGGCAGCAGAGGTCAGAAAAGCCAAAGAACTTTCAACTAACGTTCATTCATTTAAGGCTCCAAAACGAGATGCTGTCAACCTCATCAGAGCTACTGCCACCACTGTAAAGCCATCTCAAAATGGAATTCATAATTTGTATGACAAATACATCATGCAAAGAAAGGACAAACAGCCCCTAATGCTCACAGTCCTCCAGCTATAATATAAAGGAAGGAGGGTGGGGATGAGCCACAGACAAAGAATATTTATTTCCTTATGCACAGACTTTAGCATATTGAAACTACAAGACAGAATGAAGCTGCCAGAGGACTTACAAAAGAGAAATACCATAAAGATGGGCCTGCAACCCAGCCAGTACAAGCTTGGTGTGTGGGCAACAGGACATTCATGACACCTGGGATGTGGTCTTCCAGAACAGTGAACACGCCTGGCCACGTGCTGAACCTAACCACGTGCTGGCTGCACATTTGTTTCATTTGTTCTGGGAAATTCAGGGGAATTTAGATCTGTGCGAAATACCTCAGTTTATCTGTAAAATGAGTCATTGTGTAATGTTGATGGTCAGCTTGGTGGAGAATCGAGTGCAGTTCGCCTCTGGTTGTATTCTGTGATGGCATTCCCAGAGAAGATGAAGTAGAGACAGAAGATGCATCCTGAGTGTGGGCTGGCAGCAGCACCCCATGGGCTGGGGTGCTCAGATGGAATAAAAAGAAGGAAAGAGAAAACTTACCACATCTATGTTTCCTGGCTGCCATGTAGTAAATGGATCAGATTCTCTGTACCCTTGCACCATGGCGCTCACCTCACCACAGCCTTGTGACAGGGGAGCCAGCTGACCGAGGACTAAGGCTCCAGCTCGGAGACTGTAAATCTTGGCTACTTTTAGGCTGTTCTCTTAGGGAGCTGTTGATAAACACACAGCTCAACCAGCAGAGCTAAGCTGTGGTCTCCGATCATTACAAACACCTTTCACTTACTCAAACAGTGCAGGGCTGCTCAGAAGCCATCTGAGCAGCCTTGGAATTACAACAAGGCCTGCTGGGAAGCCAGCTCCTCAAATTCAAGACAGCCCTCGTTTGTATCCGGAGCAAATTTCTGTGTTCTGGATATCCCATCAGCGGTGACTCCAAACTACAGAAGAGAGTAGTTTGCAAAATTCCTGCAGATTTTGCTATCAGTGTATTAGGAGGAGATTCAGGCACCACCAATTGCGTCTGGTATTTCTAGCCCTGCACCCTGAATGCCCTGTAGCTCCCCCAAGCCATTAGGATAACAAAAACACACTGCTGCGAGCTGAGCTTCCACAGTTCCCTGCCAGAGGCAGAATTGGCCCTCTGGGAACCAGTGCATTCACCTGTGGTGTGAGTGCCCAAAGCTGGCGCTGACACATTACCTGGGCAGGCCTGTGTGAGGCTCAGCCTGCATGTTCAGCCTCTGGCTGCCTGTCCAGCTGCTCCAGGGAGAAATGAACAGAATCTATTAGTGCGAGCCCTCAGCACTAGTCTGGCTGAGTCTAACTGGGGACTTCTTAGCCCTGAGGACACTCCAGAGGCTGGCCTTGCCAGTTTGTCAGCTCTGCTCCTCATCCAACAGCAAACATCTCTGTAGCTATGCATTCTTTGAAAAGCACCAGAGGACTATGTCACAAGGGTGGGACAGCGAGTGACCTGCAGGATGGACAAGCAGGAACAGGTCTCAAGGCCCTGGGGAAGCTGAGAGCACACCATACAGATCTGTCTGTGCACCGATAAACTGCAGGTCATCCCAGCAGCCTCACTTACAAGAAGGATGCCACAAAGTGCTACAGGATTCTTGCTTGCTTGCTTCGGCACACACTTGACTCTGAAGTGGTTCTCAGTGGGTAGAGCTCTTTGACCCTCAATCTACAGATGCCCCTAGAAGGAAGCCTCGTGTTGATTGCTAGAGGGGTTGAAATTAATACCTACCTCGCCCCTCATTTTCCACCCCGCACCACCCACTCAGCCACTCTCCACAGAGAGCAGGAAGACAAAAGAGCTCCCTATGAAATGTGCCTTTCCTTCCCTGAGGATCAGGTGGGGGTGGGGTGGGAGGGGGTGTGGAGGCAATGGGAGGAGGGGAGGGAGTGGGAACTTGGATTGGTATTTTTTTAAAAAAAAAAATCTAGTAAATTAAAAAATAAAAAAGAGCCGGCTATGAGAGAGCAACAGCAAAACTGCCCCGTGTGAAGTGCGCCAGTGAACTCTGGTTAAAGTACGGCGATGGGGGGCGGGGGTGGTTACACACTAAGCGAGTCTGTGTAATGGTTATTGTGCACAAACAACATGTGGCAGATTAAAGGGGCACTTCTGGGGTTAAAGGGCACAAACTGGAGCTGAGGGGAATAGGAAGAAGGAAGAGCTGGGGGCGATCACCCGAAACAAGGTGGGTATGAAACTGCCATAAGAAAACCCATTATTTTGCATGTTAGTTTGTATTTTATAAAAATACAGGTATTTAGGATGTGAAAGTGGGAATAAAACCATCTGGGGGATTATTGGGAGAAGGGAGAGTGGGGTGAATGAATCAGAGAGCATGCTATACTTTCCTAAAAC